GTTAATCAGTTTCAGCTGCTTTGGTGTTAATGAAATTAACAACAGGTGCCCTAGATGGGCAACAATGAGATGACCCCCAAAACAGGAATAGTTTTACAGGTGTTGACCACTGACATTTTTCCCTACTCATCTTTTCTGACTGTTTTTCACTAGTTTTGCATTGGCTAGGATCAATGTCACTACAGGTAGCATGAGGCCATACCTGGACCTTACAGAGATTGCACAGGCAGTCCAACTCCTCCAGGATGGCACATCAATACGTGCCATTGCCAGAGGGTTTCAAGGTCTCAAGAGCATAGGGGAGATTGTAGGAGACAGGCAGTTACTCTAGGAGAGCTAGACAGGGTTGTAGAAGGTCCTTAACCCATTAGCAGGACCGGTATCTGCTCCTTTGTGCAAGGAGGAACAGGATGAGCACTGCCAGAGCCCTACAAAATAACCTCCAGCAGGCCACTGGTGTGAATGTCTCAGACCAAAGAATCAGAAACAGACTTCATGAGGGTTGCCTGATGACCCGACGTCCTCTGGTGGGCCCTGTGCTCACTGCCCGGCACCATAGAGCTTGATTGGCATTTGCATTGAACACCAGAATTGGCAGGTCTGCCACTGGCGCTCTGTGCTTTTCACAGATGAGAGCAGGTTCACCTTGAGCACATGTGACAGGCGTGAAAGGGTCTGGAGAACATCATTCAGCATGACCATTTTGGTGGAGTTAGTGATGGTCTGGGGAGGCATATCCATGGAGGGATGCACAGACCCCTACAGGCTAGACAATGGCACCCTGACTGCCATTAGGTATCGGGATGAAATCCTTAGACCCATTGTCAGACGCTACGCTGGTGCAGTGGGTCCTGGGTTCCTCCTGCTGCACAACAATGCCCGGCCTCATGTGGCGAGAGTATGCAGGCATTTCCTACAGGATGAAGGAATCGATACCATTGAATGGCCCCCACGCTTGCCTGACCTAAATCCAGTAGGACACCTCTGGGATATCTTGTTTCAGTCCAACTGATGCCACCAGGTTGCACCTAAGACTGTCCAGGAGCTCAGTGATGCCCTGGTCCAGATCTGGGAGGAAATACCCCAGGACTCCATCTGTCGTCTCATTAGGAGCATGCCCCAACGTTGTCAGGCATGCATACAAGCACGTGGGGGCCATGCAAACTACTGAGAACCATTTTGAGTTGCTGTAGTGAAATTTCAGCAAAATGGACTATCCTGCTGCATAATTTTTTCACTTTGATTTTTGAGGTGTCTTTGAATTCAGTCATCTGTAGGTTGATAATTTTAATTTCCATCAAACGATGGGGCATACTTACAGTTGCAAGAAAAAGTATGTGAACCCCTTGGGATTACGTGGAGTTTTGCATGAATTGGGCATAAAATGTGCTCTGAACGTCATCTAAGTCACAACAATAGAAGAACACAGTCTGCTGAACATAATACTACACAAACATTAGATGTTGCCATGGTTTAATTGCACATAACATGTAAGCATTCACAGTGCAGGGAGGAAAAAGTATGTGAACCTTTGGACTTAATAACTGGTTGACCCTCCTTTGGCAGCACATTAACCTCAACCAAACGTTTCCTGTAGTTGCAGATCAGACCTGCACAACGATCTGGAGTAATTTTGGACCATCCTCTTCACAAAACTGTTTCAGTGTAGCAATATTCTTGGGATATCTGGTGTGAATCGCTCTCTTAAGGTCATGCCACAGCATTTTTCAATCGGGTTGAGGTCAGGACTCTGACTGGGCCACTCCAGAAGGCGTATTCTGTGCTGTTGCAGCCATTGTTTTGTTGAATTACTTGTATGCTTTGGGTCATTGTCCTGTTGAATCACCCATCCTCTGCGGAGCTTCAGTTGGCGGACAGATGGTCGTACGTTTTCCTGCAAAAATGTCTTGATAAACTCTGGAATTCATTTTCCCATCAATGACAACAATCCGTCCAGGCCCTGAGGCAGCAAAGCAGCCCCAAACCATGATGCTCCCTCCGCCATGTTTTACAGTGGGGATGAGGTTTTGATGTTGGTGTGCTGTGCCTTTTTTTCTCCACACATAGTGTTGTGTGTTCTTCCCAAACAACTCAATCTTGGTTTCATCTGTCCACAGTATATTTTGCCAGTAGTGCTGTGGAACATCTAGGTGCTCTTTTGCAAACTTCAAACGTGCTGCAATCTTCTTTTTGGACAGCAATGGCTTCTCCGTGGTGTCCTCCCATGTACTCCATTCTTGTTTAATGTTTTCCTTATTGTAGATGTGTCAACAAAAATGTTAGCATGTGCCAGAGATTTCTGTAGGTCTTTAGCTGACACTCTGGGATTCTTCTTTACCTCATGCAGCATTCTGCGCTGTGCTCTTGCAGTCATTTTTACAGGACGACCACACCTAGGGAGAGTAGCAACAGTGCTAAACTTTCTCCATTTGTAGACAGTCTGTCTTACCGTGGACACATGAACATCAAGGCTTTTGGAGATACTTTTGTAACCCTTTCCAGCTTCATGCAAGTCAACAATTCTTGATCGTAGGTCTTCTGAGAGCTCTTTTCTGCGAGGTATGGTTCACATCAGACAGTGCTTCTTGAAACCAGTAAACCCAAAACAGGTGTGTGTTTTTTAAGGGCAGGACAGCTGTCAGCAACACATCCAATATCATCACACTGATTGGAGTCAAGGTTGGCTCACTCCTGGCTCCAATTAGCTCTGGGAGAAGTCATTAAGCTAGGGCCTCACATACTTTTTCCTTGCACTGTGAATGTTTACATGTTATGTGCAATTAAACCATGGCAACATCTAATGTTTGTGTAGTATTATGTTCAGCAGACTGTGTTCTTCTATTGTTGTGACTTAGATGACGTTCAGAGCACATTTTATGCCCAATTCATGCAAAACTCCACGTAATCCCAAGGGGTTCACATACTTTTTCTTGCAACTGTATGTTCCTAACACATTACCCAGTCCATATCAGTATAGATATCCAGCATGATATTTTTCCCCATTGAGATCTGATGTATTTTCGAAGTGCTCCTTTAATTTTTTTGAGCAATATACAATATATATATATATATATATATATATATATATATAGTGATTTATGTACCCCCTTGAAAACTAATGAATTACTACACAGTTCAATGGGTAGCATTCCATATGGAATTAACACTGCTCACTGAGCTTGCACGATTTACAATGCAGAAAGGCCCAACTGTTCATCCAGCAGGCATTCTTATACTGTCATTATTGCTTTTCATCTTTTATTATTATTGTTGTTGTTGACATACACATCATATTATATATGTCAATCTTCCACACTGCTGTACATATTATTCTTTCAAACAGGACTAAGTACTACAACCATATATAAATGTGAATACAATTACTATAACAGAGTAAACACAGCATAATATCGGAGTGACAGAACACAGTATCTCTGCATCTAGGGCAATGGTGATTAACTTGGTACAGCAGCACAGAGGCTAGCCCTTCTGCTTTTCAACACTAGGGTCCTCGGTTTGAATCACAGAGTTTACATGCTCTGCCTGTGCTTGTGTGGGTTTTTTCCCACACACCCAACGGATATAAAATAATAAATATGTGGTGCTCCCTGCATGCATTTAAATGACTTATATCTCAAAAAACATATATATGTAAATCTCCTGAACGTATAAGACAACACATCAATGTTCTGTGAATAGCAACGTAAACACTTATTTATTATTATTTAATATTTATTATTTTATATCAGCATGGTATGTGTGGGGACACATGTACATGTGAGCAGCACCCTCTATACACATTTCATTTACTTTATTATACAATTTATTACTTTTATTTATTATATTGATTAAAAACCTTTGTACTCACGTCACAATCTACGGATTAGGTAGTGCGGACGTTTCACTCAGATTCGCTTTACACCAACAGGATCCTTTGTAAATTAGCCCTAGTATGTGAGATAGGGACCTTAGATTGTAAGCTTCTTGGGGGCAAGAACTGACATGAATGTGCAATAAGTAAAGTTCTGTGTTAATTTTTGGTGACATATAAATTCCTGTATGAAATAAATAGCAGATATAGAAGCCTCAATTCTGGCCAGCAACATGTCCAGAGGGCCACACTCTAGATTCATTTTTGTAAATATTACTGTTATTCATTAGGATGGTATTATTAAACTATTAAAATGTATTCATGAGATGGTACATTGTGATGCGGGACAAAAAAATGTTTGTGTAAGGTGTTAATGTAACGTTGAGATAAGATCAAGTTGGTTTCCACAGACAGAAATTAGAACGCCATCATTTTTGCTAAAATTCTGAAAGGACATTACTTTGATTTATGAGAGTATTTGAATCAAATTTCACCTGGGGCATCGGATGTACAGGATGTGTTGGTACTAATGAGGGGAGGGTATCATTTTAGTATCTCCTCTTTAAATGCAATGCTGGATCATTGTGTTTCCTTTTGCTATCACAAGGCACTCTTATAGCGGGTTAGTAAGCCTAGGAGCTGCCCACAAGTTCATCACTACGGCCCATCTGAGCTGCTGGCACTCAGCGTGCAGCTTGCTGTGATCCAGACCTGTGTTGTCTGGGGAACAACTAGCCCCATGCTGAGGTTGTTTGGCCCCTGGCTCAGAGGCTTGTCTGGAGCACAGCAGGCCCTATGCTGAGCTCTGGGAGGCTGAATGCAACCTCTATGCAATGTGTTGGGCACCAAAGGTTTAGAGTAATAAGTTAAGGTTACAAGATTGGAATTTCAGACCACCCTACAGACCACCTCCACAAAAGAACACCCCCATTTTAACCTGCCCTTAAAAAAATCACAAGTAGACATTAAGACATAAAGACAAAATGCCTCTGGCGCCATGAGCAGAGAAATAATTTGAATTGTGAGTGTGGCCAAATTGTGATAACAGTGGCAGTGGCTTAAAAGGGTATAGTTAAGTAACACCTGAGCCTAAGTTTCTATGGGGCAGGAGCAGGGGCGGACTCACAACTCATGGGGCCCCCAGGCAAAAGGGGATCATGGGGCCCCTGTGTCCTTGTCCAAACTCAAAAAAGCCTATGAAAAAGGTATCAGGGGCATCTCATGGGGCCCCCTACTGACCCCGGGCCCTCGGGCAGTGCCCGAGTTTCCAAAATGGTCAGTCCGCCCCTGGGCAGGAGTGAGAAACGCATGGAGTGCAGAAGATAGGAGTAAGGCTCCATGTACACTGCAGCTGATAAACACGTTTAGGAGCTTTTCAGCAGCCCCTGAACTCTCCCTAATGTTGTCCATGTATACTATGTCCTTCACAGTCATTTACAAGCAGTTGAGTTTACAGTCGTTTTTTTTAATGCACCAAACTTGCGTTCAGGAGTAGATTTTATCAGCGTGTCAAAAGCCAAACGCTTGTAAACGTGTGTATACGTGGCTAACCGTGTTTATAAGCGTTTGCATTTGGAACATTTTTTTTAACTCTTCCATTTCTAGATGCTGTCCAGAGCCTTTTTTCATTATGGAAAATGCATGCAAAGCATTTTCCCGGTACTCAAATGGACCTGGTACACCATACTTTGAGGTTTCGCATGAAAGAAAATATGTTAGACACTGCTGCAATAATTTCTGCACAGAAATGAGCTGGAACACATCCAAAACACCACAAAAAAAAAAAAAAAAGCTAATCTCAACAAATACTGCTCTCTCTTCTTCTGCTCTCTCTATTTTCTCTCAAAATGTCTAAAATAGTTAATTTTTTACTGTTTTTCAGTGCATTCTGGGAATTTTGGAAGGTCTTCTGAGGTTATCTTTAAAAAACGCTTCTAAACGCAAACTCATAAAAAGTGGTATGCAAACATGGCTAAACAGACGTTTTTTAACCTACGCAGTCAGTTTCCATCATTCAGAAATGTTTTCCAAATGTCCCGTGTACATGGAGCCTAAGTAATAACCAGAGAGTAGAAGTCAGGTGTAAGTAACACACAAAGTGCAAAGTTTATGTGTAAGGTGTACAGGTGTACAAGGTGTATTAGCTTAGCTCATTCAACAACAATATCAGTGTGAATAAGAAAAGACATCCTTAATAACTACTAAAACAACACATCCCCATATATCTATGTGATGTCAATAAATAATATTACTGCAAGAGTGTCTGTATTATATTCTAAAAAACAAGTGGTCATTCTTATTATTAAGATGAAGAATCCCAACCATCGTGTCTTGAAGCAAAATAAAAGGTGATAAATTCTTCTTTAAAATATAGTGCTTCACCTCATGCAGATAAACTGCACACTCACCAAACCCTTGAGGGTACAAAGCAGCCTACAAGCATTATGGATATACCCCAGACTAGTAGAGAGATTGATGTTCTCAAAACCTTCTCAGCTGGCTTTCACTTATTATTATTATTATACAGGATTTATATAGCGCCAACAGTTTGCTCAGCGCTTTACAATATAAGGGAGACAATACAGCAACAATACAGTTCAATACAAGAGAATTAGGAGGGCCCTATTCCTTGGAGCTTACAATCTAACAGTATTAACCACTTGCCCTCCAGAAGATTTACCCCACCCTGTTCCTTGGAGCTTACAATCTAAGAGGGATGGACTGGTAGGAGGAGTAGAAGACATCACAATTCACATCTGAAGCCCAGAGAGAAATCTTTCATAGTGTAGTAATGTTATTTAAAATAAAAGGATATTAAAGATAATAGTTTTCTGCATTCTCTTTTCTAGGTGCTGGTAAAAGGTACTAGACAAGTGGCTCAAACAATGACAGGTGGATGCCCATGCACCACCTCTTGCAACTAAAGAGGCGGCACTCGTTCCACGAAACCAGAAGTGACGTCAGGGGTCAACTGAAAATTCTGTCAGTGGCTCAGCCTTCAAGCGTGAGTAACGCATGGAGTGCAGGAGTCAGGAGTAAGTCATGATCACAGTGTGCAAATGTCCAGTGTCAAAAGGCTGAGTTAGATTTTCTGTTATTAGTTTAGCTCATTCAACAACAACGTGCTTCTGATTCATTATGGATTGTAAGTATTCACATAACCAAAAATAAAAAAAATAGTGCAGCGCTAACAACTAGAGATAGCGAATGCGAAGTGGAATTCGTTTCGAATATCGGGAAAAATTCGATTTGCAATCCGAATTTTAGCCAACTTCGGGTGCACGAATCAAATTTTTCCCGATCAGCCGGCAAAAGTGTCACTGCAGAGAGCTCCGCTATTTCTGACAGTTCATTTACAGCGGTTGAAACATTGTATCTATTTGTTTCCATTTAGGATACAGATGTTTTTATTACAGAGAACTGTCAGAAATAGCGGAGCTCTCTGCAGAAACTTTTTGCTGTACATTCTTCTTTTCATTCTTCTTTTCAATGAGATTCTTCTTCTTCTTCTTTTCATTCTTCTTCTTCTTCTTTTCAATGGATTCTTCTTCTTCTTCTTTTCATTCTACTTCTTTTCATTCTTCTTCTTCTTATCTTCTTCTTCCTCTTCGTCGTGCCCCGTGACTGCCCAAATGAGTGAAGTGTGCGGTGATTCTAAGATCGATCAGTATTATAGAATGCGAATCAGCCGAATCGAATTTTTGAATAATTCGCTCATCTCTACTAACAACCTATACTAAAATACAAATGAGATAAATGGAACTATCACATAAGAATGCACAATAATATTCAGTGTTAGGTGCTCATAAAATGATTCTTCTTCTTCTTCTTTTACTATGTGCAGCAGTCCATAAATGCCAATGATGGTGAAAAATCACAGCAAAACTCCGTGAGGTGATCACAGTGCCACTCAGTGTGCGGTCAATCCACAGATGGCCAAGATGGCCAAGACCCCCTCACCTCCTTGATGCGACCCACTGGGCCAAACAGCTATGTAGGTGACCTTATACACCCAATAAGGTATCATCAAAGGATGGAACGTATGGATAGATCCCTCCAATATCTTCTCCTATCTCCTAGGTACTCGATTCCACAAAACCGTTTAAGATACCATTAAAAAACAAAGAAGATCCTCCATAGTGTAATCCAGTTTTAATAATAACATGAATATAAATAAAATGCCCACTCACATGTAAAATGACAAAGATCAGCTTTTTCCCATATCATGGGTGTGTTTCCATGGTTCTCATGCTAAGAAATGCATGCAGCTCCACGTGCTCCACAATCCCTCCAGAAATGGTGCCGACACCGGAAATGATGTCACCGCGCCCCCGGAAATGATGTCAGTGCGTACCTTAACGCGTTTACGTCACGATCCACGTGACTTCCTCAGAGGGAACAAAAAAAAACCTGAATGAATTGATTTCATTCAGTTAAATGCTTCCTTATAGTAAATACTTTCCTATAAGCAATCAAAAAAAAAAAATACTGATCACTTCCCCAAATTAGTACAATGTTACCATGGTAACATTATACTACTTTGGTCTTAGTGCAATATGAAAAAAAAAATCTTGAAAAATGTAATAAAAAAATAAAAAAAATTTAAAAAAAATATATTTTTTTTTCGTACTGTCACCAGTCAGTGTCCCTGATCACCGCCACACCAGTTATATGCTGATGCTGTACTGCACTGGTGACAGTATGTAAAAAAAAATTGTGAAAATAATTGTTTTAATTTCTTCATTTTTTTTTAAATTATGACAAAAAAATTACAACTTGAAAAAACTCGCCATGCCTCTTATGAAATACGTTGGACTGTCTACTTTGCAAAAAAGGGGTCATGTGGGGGATATCTGTACTGTTCTGACATTTTTGGGCCTCAAGAAATTAGATTGGCCGTCAGTACTTCAGGATTGATCAATTTTCAGATATATCCCATAGTTTGTGAACTCTATAACTTTCCTACAGGCAAAATAATAAATACTGATTTGGGTTATTTTCACCAAAGACATGTAGCAGAATACATCTCGGCCTAAATTTCAGAAGAACAATTATTTATTTGCAAACTTTTATAACAGAAACAAAGAAATACATGTTTTTTTTTTCTCAAAGTTTTCAGTTTTTTTTGTTAATTTAGCAAAAAATAAAACCCCAGTGGTGATTAAATACCACCAAATGAAAGCTCTAGTTGTGTGAACAAAATGATAAAATTTTAGTTTGGGTACAGTATTGTATGACCACGCAATTGTCATTCAAAGTGTGAGAGCGCTGAAACCTGAAAATTGTCATGGGCAGGAAGGGGATAAAAGTGCCTGGTATGGAAGTGGTTAAATCTACAATGTTATTTCATGCGAAAATAATAAAGGTTTACTTGGAATCACCAAATCAATGGGTATAACAAAAACTGAATGACTACCAACAGACGTTGATCATGTCAATGGGAGATAACTTGCTGCTCTGTAACAGTTCTTCTTGCAGTCAGACAGTGAGTAATGTACACAATTACTGGCAGTTTCTGCGCAGAACAGGACACAACATGACACATGGCTTGTCAGCTCCCAGGCAATGAGAAGTTCTTATATACTGGGCTCCTTGGTCAGTTTATAGGAGGACCGTAGATTGTCATCCCTCTGGAGGATTGATAGTAATGACCATACAAAACTTTTTCCTGCTGTAAATTAACATGTTATGTAATTGTAAGTGTATTTTAAACCATGAACTTGCAGATGGATATTCAACAGCCTTGTGTTTTATTAGATTGTGACCTAGATGAAAAGTTTATCAGATGGTTTAAAAAATATTTAAAGGGACTAAAACATGGTATTGAAGGGGTTAAAATATGGAGCTTGGTAATGGAGCACTATATATATTCGCTGTACTGGTTATACCCCTATCGACGATTTATTGTAATAAGACTCTTGCTGAACTTTGAGCACATTTGGATTTTTCAATTTGGAAACTATTTGGTCACTTATATTTTTTGATTTACTTTTTTTTTTATTTTCACTATGGGTGGTGTCTTCTTTTAAAAGTGCTACATTATTTCTGTTCTCTTTTGTTTCATTGTACGAAGAGGGTCTGATCACTAAAAACGGTCTTTCACCTGAAAACTGAAGTGCCGCTTAACCTCCCTAGCGGTCTGATTATGTCCATATTTCTGTACTCAAAGTGGTACATATTTTTGCATGGAAATATGTATTTTTTTTATTGTAGGCCTGTAATTTTTAGGAATAACTCACTGAAATCTGTCCGAACAAGAGTTTAAAAAATAATAATATAATAATAATACATTTAATT